AAAACTCAAGATAATCTTATAATTAGGGACGGAGGTATGGGTGTTCAGATCCAATCCGATCCAAAAAAAATCCAAAAACCGAACCGAAAAAACCGAAATAAAAAAAAAACGATTTTTTTTGGATGTATTTGGATCACCATGTAGCATAACCGACCGGTTCGGTTCGGTTTACGGTTGGCTTCATGAGAACCGAACCGGTCCAAACCGAACTGGTATTGCTTCCATTTACTTGCCATTTATTATTTAAAATAAATTAATATCGAATCATTTATAGCTATCCTCCCAAATTAATTATGTTAGCCAGCACTAATTTCTCTAGAGAATCTCAATCATTCATATAATTTTCCTATTCATATTCTAAATTATCTTAAAATTAAATACAATGAATGCTAGTCATTGTTGTAACCGCAAGAAATTCAATATCGCAAGCAAGAAATTCAATAATGCTAAATAGACATTCATCTCAATTAGTTTTCTGAATTATACTATCAGTAAGCAAGCTTCTTAATTTGTTTGATTTTATCTTTTTTGTACTTTGTAGTTTTGTTCGATCAGATTTTCTAAAGCTATTCAAATTTTTAGCCTTTTGTAAAGCTGTTCTAATTTGTGTTGTTGAAAGCTTATTTAAAATTAATTTACTTATGTTCTCAATTTTATAACAGTAGCTTACTAAAAATTATTTTCATTAATTTTCTTATGTGAAATCGTTTCATGTTGGTTACTTGGTTATAACAGTAACAAATTTTAGTTAGTTTTTCATAATTTCTTCAAGGTCTGTTCTTGTTAGTTTTTCATATTTTGTTTCATAATTTTTTCATAATATATTTTTATTAGATTTTTCTACAACTAGTTGTTTATACTTTGTTCTAATTTTAAGTTTGATATATTTTTACAGGAATGAGCCAAACTGGTCCTATTACTCAATCTGATATTGTTAACAACCTTATTCAGGTATCAAAAATTAATTTTAAGTAGAGATTTTTACCTTTAGAAATGTTGGTTACTGTTACAATGGTGTAATATTATAGTTGATGTTCAAAAATTTATTTTTTCATGTGTATTTTATAGGGTGAAACAACTGAAGCTCCACCTCCATTGGTACAAAGTAATGAAACAAACAATGATGAAGAAAATGCTAATAAGAAAAGAAAGATTGGAGAAGCTTCAAAATTGGTCACATCCAATGATTCTAATGTTGTAGTTGGAGATTCAGGTAACAGAAAACCTATTAAACCTAGATCTTGGACTTGGGAACATTTTACAAAAATAGAATCAAGAGCTAAGTGTAATTGGTGTGATGTAACATATGCTGCTGATTCACAAAGAAATGGCACTAGTAATTTGAAACACCATTTGTTGCATCAGTGTAAGAAGTTTCCAAAAGAGTCTCTTGATCCCACTCAACAGACACTTGTTCTTCAACAATTGAAAAAAGAAGATGGGAATGGATCTGGTAGTGTTCTCATTGGTGTTCATTTTGATACTGAGGCATGTAGAAAAGCTTTAGCTAGGATGATTATTGTTGATGAGTTGCCTTTTAAGTTTGTTGAGGGAGAGGGGTTTCTTCATTTTATGAGTGTTGTGCAACCTAAACTCTCAATTCCTAAAAGGATTACAATTGCTAGAGATTGTTGGGATTTATACACGAGTGAGAAACATAAGTTAAAAAGTGTGCTAAATAAATCAAATCAATGTGTTTGTCTTACAACTGATTGTTGGACATCTGTGCAAAATTTGAGTTATCTTTGTCTCACTGCACATTTCATTGATCATGATTGGAAAATCCATAAAAGGATTCTGAATTTTTGTCCAATTGTGAATCATAAAGGAGTAACCATCGGCAAAAAAATTGAAAAATATTTGGAGGAATGGCTAATAGGTAATGTTTTCACCATTACGGTTGATAATGCTAGTTCTAACGATGTTGCTATAACTTACTTGAAAAATACAATGAACGATTGGAATTATCATCCATTGAAAGGGGAACATATGCATGTTCGCTGTTGTGCACATATTATGAATCTTGTGGTCCAAGATGGACTAGAAGACTATCATTCTTCAATTAGTAAGATTAGGAATGTTGTTAGATATGTTCGTGCATCTCCGGGTCATATGGATAGGTTTAAAACTTGCATTAAAGAAGTTAGGTTACAAGAAAAATCAATTGTTCAGTTGGATGTTTCCACTAGGTGGAATTCCACATATATTATGCTCGAAAGTGCATTGAAGTTTCAAAAGGCATTTAAGAGATTGAGTGAGAAGTGTGCTGATTTTGTGCTGATGAAAGATGGTATTCCTAATAAAGAGGATTGGGATAATGCAAAATGCTTTGTTAATTTTTTGAAAATATTTTTTGATATCACAAAGAAGGTTTCAGGTAGTACTTTTGTGACCTCTTCTCAATATTTTAATGAACATATTAAGATATTGACTACATTAAACGGGTGGATAGAATTAAAAAGTTCTGACAACTTGCTTGGAATTATGGCTGAAAATATGAAAGTTAAGTATGATAAATATTGGGGTAAGGTTGAAAAAATGAATATGTTGATCTTTGTTGTTGTTGTGCTTGATCCTCGACATAAGATGCAGTTTGTTAGGTGGGGATTGAACAGGGCATATACAAATGATGTTGTTGTATCTTTGTACAAAAAAACAAAGGAGACATTAAATAAAATATTTGAGAGTTATAGGCTTTTCCTTGGTAACGGTCAAACTGAAAATCTTACACATTCCACTCAAGAAGTGGAATTGGTAGAACTTAAAGCACCAGAGGATGCATTTGCTTTAGAGGTTGAGATGGACATGAATCTTAATGAGAGCATGCGGAAAAATGAATTGGATTTGTATCTCATGGAGAATTTGGAGAAGAAAGGTCCTGGTTTTGATATCTTGAACTGGTGGAAGGTGAATTCTAACAAGTATCCTATTCTTGGTCAAATGGCTAGAGATATATTGGCCATGCCTGTGTCTACTGTAGCTTCAGAGTCCGCTTTCTCTATCGGAGGAAGAGTGCTTACTTGTTATAGAAGCTCTCTTACGCCAAAAACAGTTGAAGCTTTAATTTGTACACAAAATTGGTGTAAATCTTCCCCGGTGTCGGTGGATATTAAAGAGCTTGTGGATGAGTTAGAAAACTTGGAATTAGGTAATTTACTTATAACTTATATTATTTTTTGTTGAGCATTGTTAATCTTTTATATTGAGTAATATTTATCTTTATTTTTGTAGAACTTGCTCCAATCCCTCAATTGAATGAAGGTGTATCTGATATAGACTCTGATTAGCTGTTGATATCCGCATTCTAAAAGAATTGGGTAGAATTGTGAAGCTAGAGTGGAGCTATTGCAGGATAATTAGAAAATTTGTTATTTGACTATCAATTATGTTGCAGGCTCTGATTTTGAAACTATCAATTATGCTGTCATATATAAAGCAGATCTTCTCTCTATATATAATGCAGTTTGTCATATTATTATTATATATTCCTTGTGATGCAACTTTCGCATGTCCACTGTTATTGATATTTTTCTTGAAGTTTTATTATTATATTCGCTTTAATATAGCTTTAGAATCTTCATTTGTTCACTGTTTTATATATTTGTCATATATTTAATTTATAATACAAATCTCCATATAAGAACTAAGCATATCTCCATATATATTATATATTATAGTCATGTCTATTTCGTTGGGATAGATATTATACATATATTATAATGAAACTTTGCAATAATGACATCAAATAGCCATATGAACATAGCAATTAGATATTGTCTCAGTAGACGTTGGTGGCATAATTGTAACTGGTATTGAAATATATTCTTTTTAAATTTCTAAATAGTGTTGGTTTAAAAACCGAATAAAACCGATTCAACCGAACCGAAGTAAACCGTATAAATTGGATTGGATTGAATTGAATTTTTCTTGTTGTCATCCAAAAACCAAACCAAACTGTATGCTTTATATATTTTTGGATCGGATGATATTTTGTCTCAAAACCGATCCAAACCGGACCACGAACACCCCTAGACGGAGGTAGTAACACATGATAATAACAAAATACTCTCGCCGTCTCATAAAAAATGTCTTATTTACATTTTTTGTGTTAAAATAATTGTCTTTACTATTTTAATGAAATATTTATTATCATTTTTTAACTACTATACTTCTATTTATTAACTTTCACTTTATTCAACTATTCTATTAAATCTAATTAATAAAAATATTTTAATACATAATAATATTAATTTTATCATTAAAATTAATATATTCAAAAAAAAAAATTAATTGTGTATTACTCAAATAAAACATTTTTATGAGACCAAAGAAGTAATAAAAAACAAAACTTCAACGAAAATATGTTCCTAACAAATCTTCAGTTCTCTATCTCTCAAATGAATCATTATTCAAACTCTAACAAATTTAAAACCAGAAAATTTTAAAAGACCGATCAAACCAAATTCAATTTCAATTTTTTATCCAATTTTTAAAACATTCACCTAATTAAAAAAAGCCAGGTGTTAATTCGGATAGATGTATCATGTTAGTCACCATCAAAATGCAACATTATTGTATTTCCAATAATTGGTCTTGAAACTTCTAAACAAGCTTAGAGATACCTTTTTGATAAGCAAATGAAGGGATTATATAATAAACAAAAACATTAAAAAATAAATAATTACAATACACCTCACAAAAGGGAAAATCTTAACAGAACATTAGTTGAGGAGGAACTAAAGCGTAGACTTTTTGTCCTGTTTTTTCAGATCCACCAAATCCACCACCTCAAAAAGCATGAAACACGCATAAACATGTAATAACCAAAGACACACATAACACAAAGGTTCAACACTTTTCATAATTTTCTCAAAAAAAACACTGACACAAACGTTTGATTATATTACAAACTTTTTTCTATCCATTTTTGAACTTCGAAGCTTTCTTTTTCAAATCTCTTGGTTCAAAAGTCAAACCAAGTTGGATGTTCAACGGTGGAAATGGACCGACTACCGTGGAAGGAGGAAGAAGAAGCGGCGGTTGGCGGTGGAAAAAGTGGACCGCCGCAAAGACCGAATTTAAGTTTGCCGCCACGTACGGACGGGCTTTTCAGCGGCGGTTTTAGTCCCGGTCCTATGACTTTGCTCTCTAATATATTGACCGACGGTGATGACGGCAAGTCGTTCTCTCAGCTTCTCGCTGGTGCCATGGTGTCTCCGGTAGCCGCCACCTCTGACGCGCTTGATTCACCTGATTTCTTTTCACATCATCATCATCAGGTGAATAAACTATTTGTTTACGACTAAATATAAATGAATGCTTATGTCAGATATTGAATCCGACTTTTGAATTTGACATACAATCTCGATATGATATAGGTGTCCTTTGGATTGTCAAACCATCCGGCACCGGCACCGGCACAGGCACAGGCACATGTCTCTTTTCAAGGAGGACAATCTAACATAGATATGTATAACCAAGCTGAACATTCATTGTCTGTATCAGAACCCACCGATCACGCTCCTCTCGCGGAACAAAGGTTGCAGTCTTCTTCGTTGAATGTTGATAAGCCTGCTGATGACGGTTACAATTGGAGGAAGTATGGACAGAAACACGTGAAAGGTAGTGAGTTTCCTCGAAGTTATTATAAGTGCACACATCCTAACTGTCCTGTTAAGAAAAAGGTCGAGCGGTCGCTTCAAGGTCATGTGACTGCGATTATTTATAAAGGAGAGCACAATCATCAACCTCCGAATCCTAACAAGCAATCCAAAGACACTAATGCGAATGCCGATTCATCTTATCAACAGATGGATCCAGAATCGAGTCACGCAGCAGGTGAACATCTATATGGAACGAGTGATAGTGAGGAAGTAGGTGATCGTGAAACTGAAGTGGGAGAAAAAAGAGTTGAGCCTGATTCCAAAAGGAGGTGAGTTTTTGTCGAAAATCTTTCTGGTATATTTCAAAGTTGTTAATAGGATACAAATCCTAATTCGATTAACTATGTTTATACTCGATAATCATTTGCCTCTATGTTATTGTTGTAATTATGTAGAAATACAGAAGTTGCGGTCTCAGATCCAATAGTTTCTTCACATAGGACAGTCACGGAGCCTAGAATCATCGTGCAAACGACTAGTGAAGTTGATCTCTTAGATGATGGTTATAGATGGCGAAAATATGGACAGAAAGTTGTCAAAGGCAACCCTTATCCTAGGTGATACTGATTCTTCTCCACACTTTTTATTTCACCTATTGAACTATTCATGGATTATTCTATACTTTACTGCATAATGAATGCACTGATATGATATTGATACCCTTAACAATTTTATTGTCAAGGAAAATTTACTGATTCTTAGTTGTATAATGTTTAGGAGCTATTACAAATGTACAACACCGGGTTGCAACGTTCGCAAGCATGTAGAGAGGGCTTCGACAGATCCTAAAGCAGTCATAACGACATACGAAGGAAAACATAATCATGATGTTCCTTCAGCTAAGACCAATAGCCATACTTTTGCCAACAAAAATGCTTCACAGATAAAATCACAAAATACCATTCCTGAGCAGCCTAGTTTTGGCAACATTGGTAGAGTCGGTGGCAATGAGCAACAACCTGTTGCACGGCTAAGGCTGAAGGAAGAACGGATAACTTAAGAGTCTAGATTAAGGTTCGAAGAACTGGTAATCCGATAACTTATATCACAAGCGATCTTTATTTAGATGCTTTTGGATTTGTTTTCAGTCTTACGCCAAAGTTTTGATCAAGTCCTCATGAAAGAGTTAAAGGAGAACAAGTTTAAACAAAAAAAAAAAAAAAAGAGGTGGTGGAGATAATAGGGGTTTTGGATGATGCTGTATCATTTGTGCCTTGTGTATACATTGAAAGTATGTGTTTTTTTTTCTTGTTTAAATCCTAAAATGTAAGTTATGTTGTGTAACACAGTTATTCAAAATTTTATGATGTAATTTCTTGCCCAATGATATTTTTTTAAGGATGTCACAATTTTGGATCATATTATAAATTGCATTATATGAGCTCCTTCCTGAATCCAAATATGGTAATCAAGGTAGGTTCCAAAATGAACATGGGCACACGATTTATTTCCATATTATGAATATTATATACATATAGTACTGGCTAAAAATGTAAACACAGTTATTTGCTCAATATATATATAGTATCGGCTAAAAAGTACTATAATACGTGACAATCCATAATGACTAACGTTTGTTAGAGGTTTTAAGATATATTGCGGGAATAAGAGTTAGTTCACATAAAGGGCGAGACGCTATGTATACGTGGTTTTCTATATTAGAATGAGATTTCTTCCCAATTCCAATATTGAGGTAATAGAGGTCATGTGCCCATATCCTAGACCTTATGAGAATAGTAATTACTAGTGAGAAGATGTAGGAGTGGATGGTTAATCCACCTCTATTTTTACGGACGTGGTCAAATGACTTATTCTATATCGCTATGGAATGGGGACATGTCATTTCTCCATTTTCTTATATCGGGCGACTTGACGTGTTCAATAACAAGATGAGGCATATATAAACGGGTGCCCAAACTAGAAAATGGGTGATAGAAGAGATCCTGTAGACTCAATTAAAGTCCCTTGTCTCTACCTTGTCCCTTGCAAACCTTTTTCGAATATACTAATACATAGTTCCTAGAACACGAGGGTTTGTAAACGACAAAGTGTTTTAGCTTCTTTACCCCACAATGGTTCTTAAATGGAGCACTTTAACATGGCTCAAGATGGATTCTTCTAATGAGACTTTAAGCGAGTCTTTTAGGAAAGATTTAGTTGAGTCTCTCTAGCGAGACTTTGGTTGAGTCAATCCGACACGAATTTAGTTGAGTCCCTCCAGTGAGACTTTAGTTGAGTTCTCATAATGAGACTTTAGTTGAGTTCCTTATGCGATACTTTAGTTGAGTCTCTCAGGCGAGATGTTAGTTAAGTCCCTTCGGAGAGATTTTAGTTGAGTTTCTTCAAGTGAGACTTTAGTTGAGTCCCTCCAGGAAGATATTAGTTGAGTCCCTCCAGGCGATATTTTTGTTGAGACCTTGCGGCGAGACTTTAGTTGAGTTTCTCCAACAAGACTTTAGTTTAGTTTCTCCAACCGGACTTTAGTTAAGCCTCTGAGGCGAGACTTTAGTTAAGTCTTTTTAGGCAGGACTTTAGTTGAGTCTCTCATAAAAGACTTTATTTGTATTATAGAGATGACATTTATGTTATTCCTCTCTAAAATGACAAGGATCTCCTTGTGGAAATCCATCATTCATATTTTTACTTTTAAGTCAACAATGATCTTTTAATGGAAGTCCAATTAACATTCATATTTCCATTTTTAAGGCGGCAATAACATATTTACATTTTTAAAGCAATAAGGATATTCCAATGGAAGTCTAACATTCATGCATTGGTAAGTAGATCTCTCTTCTAACAATCAACTATAATAATATCTTAGATTGACTTAATTTCAAGTTTTGGGAATGAGTTTTCCATCTAACTCCTTGACCTTGTAGGCTCTATGAGATGATTTCTGGTAAATGTCACATGATCCTTCCCAGTTGGGTTACAACTTTCCATGTTGGACGGGCACGAAGATGCATCTCAACAGCGGGTCCCCCTCATGCATTTCACTTCAAACCACTTTGGAGTTAAATCTTTTGGCCAACCTTTTCTTGGCGGAAAATTCTTGAACGTGAGCCACAATTCTTGTTTTGTCGACTAGATCGACATCACATCTTAACCCTGCCTCATCCTCATCAACTTTAACATTCCTTTCACCTTGAACTTTGTAATAAGGTGGGAGAACTGACTTGGGTGTTTTGCGTTTTATCGCAAATATTATGGATAGCTAGAGACGCCACCGACTTTTCTTTTATCCTATAAGGGAAAGGGTGAAAATAATAGGAAAGACCTTTTGAGAATTTTCTTGAGTTCGGGTGGTAGGTTATGAAAAGGGAAAATATTAGCATCCTTTTCATCCGTAGTTATCTACGGGATCTTAATTGCTAGCTCACTTTTGAAATGCTTTTGTGAATGTGTTTGTCTGAAGATATTTTGAAAAGTGCCATCGTTGGGTAAACTTTGTAATAATTCTTGTCTCTGTAAGAATGTATAAAAGGTGTTGACTTTGAAAATAATTCAAGAAAGTGTTGGTATGTTAAAAGATGTGTGTTTTGAAATGTTTGTGAGCAAGCAATCACGAGCAATCTATCTATTTAAAAAGTCTTTGTTCTTCTCATCCTCCTTTAGATAGTGCTTGTCTACCATTGATTGATAGAGAGCCTTATCATTGGATGTGAAGGAACAGACGTGGGTCGTCGTACAGTTATAGAAGGCAACTTACGTGATATTTTAGCAATTATCGTAAGGGACTAAGATCATTTATCGAAGGAAACATTTGAAGGGTCGTCGAGGGACTATGATCTTTTGAGTTCGAGGGTCTTTGCTAAAACATCTCACATTCGAGGGACATGATTGTTTATATTCGAGGCAATAAGTGTGAGTTACCCTAGAGGTGTATGTGTGCGAAGTGTATTTGTTCAATTAATTGTCTTAAATTAGGATTGTCTATGATTAGTTTTAAAGTCTTGCCATACAAATCCTAATTACTAGCAATATTAAGGAAAGCGATAAATTGCGGAAATTAAAAGGCCTACGCTATTACAATACTTTAGGGGATGGGAATACAAATTTTCAAATGGAGATGACAAGTAAAACAAACCCTAATTACTATTACAAGGTTTTGACAGTTACATAAATTGCAATGCAAAATAATAAAATGTACAAAAATGTAAGGATAATAAAAGAGAAAAGAAAGTTAATTAATAAAAATTCTAATGTCTAAATTAATTTAATTAAGAAAAAATTAAATAGTTTAAGAAAATATTATCATTATTTTTGTCTATAAAGTAAATAAAATAAAGTGGGAGAATTTGATCTAATAATTTAAGAAATTATAATTTTTATATTTTTTGTTAAATAATAAAATAGATAAATAAAAGAAAAGATAATAAAATAAAAATAAAATATAAAATGTTGGATCTGAGTTAAAAGTAAAAAAGGGTAGTGAGAAAGTGTTTTTGTTTCAGGTCCAAAACAGTTTTTGTATAGTCAAAAAATAAACAAAAATAAAAAGAAGTGGGCTTGGTTGTTGGAAGAAAATAGGGGGGTGATGTTCAGCAGAAAAATAATCAGGCCCAACTAAAGGAGGCACAGGCGCGCTGTAAAACAAACAAAAAAAGAGACAAAATAATATGAAAAATCACAAAAGAGTACCATTGGGGCTCGAACCCAGGTCCCTATAGTGTCAAGCCTTACGCGCGCGCTCTCTACCACTGGGGTGGTTATATATCTGGTATTTAAAGCACAAACCAATAAATATATTATAAACCTTGTCCTGAACATGTCATCTTCATCTTCCTCGCGCCAGGATGTTCTTCAACATTTTTGATATCTGTAACTTCCTCATTTCTCAACCAAAATGGAAAATGTAAACATGAAAGTTGCTTGAAATTTAACAATGATTTCAACCATGTAAATAACTAAAGCTATGGATCAAAGATGAACACAAATTTCTGTTGGTACCAAATTTAACCTAACTTTTTTCAGAAAGTTCAAACTCAAAATTCTCCATGCCCAGGCAATATAAATGAAATCTAAAAGCATGGTTAGCTTCAGGGCAGTGATGTCTACATTTTATCTTTGAAAATCAAAGTTAAATGATGCTTGTATAAAGAGTTGAAAGTTCAGAAAATTCACCTTGCAAATGGAAATCGTGTTTTGAGTTTGAGCACTTTTCAAGGTGTTGTGATGATCTGGTTAGCTTCAATGGACCTCTAGGAAGCTAATGCAACGGTTACCCTGAGCTGAGAGTTCCTGAATCATGCTGAAGAAGTTAATGTGCAAGATGTTGTTTTTGAAAATGGAGGATGGTGATGGAGGTGTACAGTCATGTAACAAGTGTTTGGATAGGTTCTAAATAATGTATGGAAGCTTTGTGATTGATTTGGAGTGAAAACGCACGACTGCAATATGAGCTTGAGGTGCAAGGACAAAATCTGCACAAAAATGGTGTTTTGAGGCAATTTCTAGCTTGAGGGAGTTTGGGAGAGTTTTAGAGCTTGTCAAATCGTGTCCTTGGCTTGTAAACAATGTCTTGATTTATAGTAAAATATTTGAGGACTTGAGATGATCAGAATCACAAGATCACATGTTGTGGATTTTTTACTTGTTTTTGAAGCAACCTTGACAAATATGGTGTCAAGGCAAGGTACAAAGCTTGTAGGGTAGCTAGAAGATTTAAACATGTTTGCTCTGATCTTGTAGAGGAAGTTTGTGCAGAAGGAACAAGTGCAAAGCTCAAGACAAGTTGACTTTGTGATTAAAGCAACTTTTCAAGAATGGCAATGGTGCCTTTGTGCCATAAATGGAAAACTAATTTGGATAATGGTTCAAACACTTGGACAATGGATCAATGAGTTGTGTAAACATATTATAATGGATAGATTTACAAGTTAGAAGGCCTGAAAAGTGAGATTATGCAGCATAGGTTAGGGTTTTGGTTATGTGTTCATCATCAAAATGACTTGTAAATCATGAATGGATGCCCAACTTCTTCTCTTCGATTCTCTTAGC